TTGGATGCTCCTTTGGCCGCGGGCTCTCACAAGCGCGTCTGTTTCCTCCCCTGGGTGCTGCTTCGGCCGCGTGCTCTCTCAAGCGCATCTGTTTCGAGCTTCCCTGGGTGCTGCTTCGGCCGCGTGCTCTCTCAAGCGCGTCTGTTTCGAGCTTTTTGGTGCTGCTTCGGCCGCGGGCTCTCTCAAGCGCGTCTGTTTCGAGCTGCCTTAGGTGCTGCTTTGGCCGCGGGCTCTCTAAAGCGGTCTGTTTCGAGCTCTTTTCGGTGCTGCTTTGGCCGCGGGCTCTCTCAAGCGCGTCTTTTTCGAGCTTCCTTTGGTGCTGCTTCTCTCGCCACCGCACGCGCACTCTCGCTCCCGCAGCGCTCACGCGCGTCGCAGAGCCGACGTCCGCCGACCCCCCGAACAACGGCGCCCCCGCGAACTCTCGGCAAGGCGCAGTTGTGCCCTCTTCCGCGGACTTGCACCAGGAACGCGGAAGCTCGCAGTCGAGGGGGGCTTCCGCGCGGGAGTAGCCGCCGCGCCGCGCCGAGTCCGCGAGCGAGAAAGCCCGTCGGACCCCGCGCGCGGCGCGGCGCCCACTGCCGCGCGGAAACCCAGGGGGCCACGTCCAGCCTCCACGCGGCGGCCCCTGGGGAAGGCTACGCGGGCGACTCTGCACCCGCAAGGGTCGCGGTCGCGCGCGTAACTTTCGCGAAGGACGACTCTCGAATCGCGCTAATGCTGACATATCTGTTTCTGGGACGCACATCACTCACTCAGGCTGACGCCAGCACTCCTTCCCCCCTTGATAGGGGGGAGCGTGGGAGGTAGATCCCTAAACCCTAAAAGCAATGACTCTGGGTGGATGGGTGGGACAGAACGCATCCATCCATCCCCCCCTACCTCCTGAGGAGGGGGGGATAGGATGGTTCTGCGCAGAAACCCTAAACCCTAAACCCTAAACCCTAAACCCTAAACCCTAAACCCTAAACCCTAAACCCTAAACCCTAAACTGCAGGCGCGGACCTGGGGGCGCGCGCCGCCACGCCTGTAAGGATCTGCTAGTGAGAGCGAGCTGCAAGTCGAGCTCACCGCGACCATAGGCCTGCCGGCCCGAGGCGGTGCTTCGCTTGCACAATGATAACCCCTAACCCTCGGCCGGATGCTCGCGGATACCGCTCAACTTCTCCCCCAGAGCTCTCCCCCAGAGCTCTCCCCCAGAGCTCTCCCCAGATCTCTCCCCCAGAGCTCTCCCCAGAGCTCCCCCCCAGAGCTCTCCCCCAGAGCTCCCCTCCAGGGCTTCCCCCCAGAGCTCTCACCCAGAGCTCTCCCCCAGAGCTCTCCCCCAGAGCTCTCCCCCAGAGCTCTCCCCCAGAGCTCTCCCCCAGAGCTCCCTCCCAGAGCTCTCCCCCAGAGCTCTCCCCCAGAGCTCTCCCCCAGAGCTCTCCCCTAGAGCCCTCCCCCAGAGCTCTCTCCCAGAGCTCTCCCCAAGAGCTCTCCCCCAGAGCTCTCTCCCAGAGCTCTCCCCCAGAGCTCTCCCCCAGAGCTTTCTCCCAGAGCTCTCCCCCAGAGCTCTCCCCCAGAGCTCTCCCCCAGAGCTCTCCCCCAGAGCTCTCCCCCAGAGCTCTCCCACAGAGCTCTCCCCCAGAGCTCCCTCCCAGAGCTCTCCCCCAGAGCTCTCCCCCAGAGCTCTCCCCCAGAGCTCTCCCCCGGAGCTCTCCCCCAGAGCTCTCCCCCAGAGCTCCCCTCCAGAGCTCTTGGCGTGAAGGAGCCCCCAGAGGATCGTTCCCAGGGTAGTGAACAAAACATATCCTCAAGAGCGTGTCAGACCTCTCTGGGAGAGCTAAACCAAGGAAAATTACCGATATACCGGATTCACATTCCCCCGGGCTCCAGCGCGGTGCCGGCTCGGGCTCTGATTCCGGCTCGGGCTCCGAACTTGGGCGAAATTCCGAGCTCGGGCTGGCTCGGTGGGCGACTGTGGCGCCGGTCTGCGTTCTCCTGTGGGCTTGGTTTGTGTCCCTTGGGTGCTCCTTTGGCCGCAGACTCTCTCAAAGGGTGTCTGTTTCGAGCTCCCTTGAATGCTGTTTCGGCCGCGGGCTCTCTCAAGCGTGTCTGTTTCGAGCTCCCTTGGGTGCTGCTTCGGCCGCGGGCTCTCTCAAGCCGTCTGTTTCAAGCTCCCTTGGGTGCTGCTTCGGCCGCGGGCTCTCTCAAGCGCGTCTGTTTCGAGCTCTCTTGGGTGCTCCTTTGGCCGCGGGCTCTCTCAAGGGTGTCTGTTTCGAGCTACCTTGGGTGCTGTTTCGGCCGCGGGCTCTCTCAAGCGTGTCTGTTTCGAGCTCCCCTGGGTGCTGCTTCGGCCGCGGGCTCTCTCAAGCCGTATGTTTCGAGCTCCCTTGGGTGCTGCTTCGGCCGCGGGCTCTCTCAAGCGCGTCTGTCTCGAGCTCCCTTGGCTGCTCCTTTGGCCGCGGACTCTCTCAAGGGTGTCTGTTTCGAGCTCCCTTGAGTGCTGTTTCGGCCGCGGGCTCTCACCAGCGCGTCTGTTTCGAGCTCCCCTGGTGCTGCTTCGGCCGCGGGCTCTCTCAAGCGCGTCTGTTTCGAGCTCGCTTGGGTGCTGCTGCGGCCGGGGGCTTTCTCAAGCGCGTCTGTTTCGAGCTCCCTTGGGTGCTCCTTTGGCCGCAGACTCTCTCAAGGGTGTCTGTTTCGAGCTCCCTTGGGTGCTGTTTCGGCCGCGGGCTCTCTCAAGCGTGTCTGTTTCGAGCTCCCCTGGATGCTGCTTCGGCCGCGGGTTTTCTCAAGCGCGTATTTTCGAGCTCCCTTGGATGCTCTTCTGGCCGCGGACTCTCTCAAGGGTGTCTGTTTCGAGCTCCCTTGGGTGCTGCTTCGGCCGCGTGCTCTCTCAAGCGCGTCTGTTTCGAGCTTTTTGGTGCTGCTTCGGCCGCGGGCTCTCGTCTCTTTCGAGCTGCCTTGGGTGCTGCTTTGGCCGCGGACTCTCTCAAGGGTGTCTGTTTCGAGCTCCCTTGGGTGCTGTTTCGGCCGCGGGCGCTCTCAAGCGTGTCTGTTTCGAGCTCCCTTGGGCAAGCCTTGACTCAAGCAGGTGCCGAGAGTGCGTTTTGGCGCGCGGCGCTCGAAGTTCGTTCGTCTCAGGCCACGTTCGGCGACAGGAGGGGGAGGGCGACGATGAGGGAGGGGGAGGGTAGGAGGCGAAGGAAGAGGAGAAGAAGGGAAAGCTGATGATGATGATGAGATGATGATGATGATGAGAGATGAGGAGGAGAGGAGGAGGAGGAGGATTGAGGAGGAGGAGGAGGCAGGAGGAGGGAGGAGGGGGAGGGGGGGGAGGAGGAGGAGGGGGAGAAGGAGCACGAGGAGAAGCAGCAGAGGGCGGCGGAGGAGGAGGAGGCGGAGGCCCCCTGAGAGGAGGAGAAGGAGGAGAAGGAGAAGGAGGAGGAGAAGGAGGAGGAGGAGAAGGTGGAGGAGGAGGAGGAGGTGGGGGCCCCGGGGAAGAGGAGGAGGGGGAGGGCTGGAGAGCTGAGGAAAGGGAGAGGAGGAGAAGGAGGAAGAGGAAGCGAGGAGGAGGGGCCTCCTACTCTTTCTCACCCTCAGTATCCTTATTGTACTCCTCCTTTTCCTTCTCCTCCTGCTTATCTCCCTGAGGTCCTCCTTCTCCTGTTCCTCCTCCTCCTTCTGCGCCTCTGCCTCCTCCTCCTCCTCCTCCTCCTCGTCGTTCCTTCGTCTTCTCCAGACCTCCTCCTCCGCCCCTGGCCGGCCGGGTGCCCCCCCGGGGGCTGGCGGGGCGGCGGCGGCGCTGGGCCCCGCCGGGCAGCTGGGCCCCGCCGGGCAGCAGGCGCCTGGCTCGCCCAGAGGGGGGGAGAGGGAGGGCGCGAGGAGGAGGGAGGGAAGGAGAGGGCGAGGGAGGGAGGGGGGGAGCGAGGGAGGGAGGGAGGGAGAGAGGGAGAGAGGGAGCGAGGGAAGGAGGGGGGGAGGGAGGAGGGGGAGAAGGGCGAGGAGGAGGGGGAGGAGGAGAAGGAGAAGGAGGATGCGGGGGAGGAGGAGGAGGAGGAGGATGAGGAGCAGGAGCAGGAGGAGGAGGAGCAGGAGAAGGAGGAGGAGGAGCAGGAGGAGCAGGATCAGGAGGAAAAGCGGGGGGGGCAGGGAGCGGGAAGATCCCAACCAACATTGATGAGGCATCTCAGGCCGAAGGCCTCTCAGGGATGGGCCGAAGGCCTCTCGAGGAAAAAGGAAGAGGAGGAGGTGGAGGAGGGGGGGAAGGAGAGGCGAGGGAGGAGGAGGAGGAGCAGGCGGAGGAGGAGAAGGAGGAGGACGGCGGCAGCAGCAAGACCCCCCAAAACCCGATGCGTTCCCATGTTGTCTGCCCTCGTCCCCCTGGATCACTTCACAGAGTTGTTTGTTCGTCGTGGTCCTGGGGGTCGTGTGTTTGGAGGTCCACGGGTCCAGGTCAACAGGTCCAGGTGCCCAGAAAGACATGGGACATCGTCAGTTTTTGGAGGTCTGGAGCAGCAGCGTAACGAGAGCGAGCAGATGGCGACGGGTGCGACGGCGACGGTCGGGCGAGTGTTGACGCATTGCGACGATTTGTGTTGTTGATAGTGTTGTTGTTGTTGTTGTTGCTGTTGTTGTTGTTGTTGTTGTTGTTGTTGTTGTTGTTGTTGTTGTTGTTGTTGTTTGTGTTGTTGCGGTTGCTGTTGCTGTTGTTGTTTTTGATGGTGATGATGATGATGATGATGTTGATGGTGATGATGATGATCACGATGATGATGATGCGTGTATTCATGCCATCGTGGGTGTACATGTGCGATGGTGATCTACCTAAATCGCCTGCCACAAAAGCCGCTAAAACCGCATGCGGAAGTAAGCACTAAACTTGCAGTGCTTAAATGTGGTGGCGCGTAGGCCCTCATAGGCCAAAACGTGACAAGTCCATGAAGCAAATTCTCGGTGCGCCCTTCCCCCCCCATTACGTCCCCCCTGGTTTCCAAAAACGCACTCGCAAACCTGCCGATCTAGTGCGGCACGGAGCTCGACGAGGCTGTCGAAGACGCCTTCGCCCTCTTGGCCGAGGTGTCTTCCTCGTCGCTCGGCCTGCGCTTTCCGCACAGGCCTGCGATCCTGAACATCCCACCAGGTGACGACGAAGCCGAAGTTGGCGGAGAACGCACAAGCGGGCGACGGCAGGCGGGCGTCACGGGCGCAGGTCCCTCGTCGTCGTCGGTCGACTCCGACATCACCTGCAGCCGGCGCGGGGGGTGCTGCCAAATCTCGCCAGTCTTGTTCGGGTTCTTGCCGAGGGAGAGCAGGTTCAGGACGTGCCTGGGGTGGGCCAAGAGATTTGCGATGTTGCCGCCCCCTCCAACACTTCCTCCTCCTCCTCCTCCTCCTCCACCTCCTCCTCGTCCTCCTCCTCCTTTTCCTTCTCCCTCCTTCTCCTCCTCCTGCGTTCTCCTCCTCGTCCTTTTGCTTCTCCTTCTCGTGCTCCTGGCCCTCCTCCTCCTCCTTCTCCCTCCTACTCCTCATTTCATTTTTCCTTCATGGTAGGCAAATTCATTGGCGCTGGCCTGCGATAGCCAGGGGTCACTCTCCCGACGCATTCGTTGTACAAGCCCTTCGTGTGGTACCCGCGGGCGTTCCAGAAATGCGCGCACGTCGTGCAGAACACGATTTCCGAATGACCACGCACGCTCCTCAAACTCACGTGGGAAATGTGAACTAGACCGAGCAAGGGGTGGTCGCGCGGGGTCGTCCACATTGCAGGTTCGGGAGCACAGGGCGCAGCAGCAAGGTTCTCCAACTCACCCTGATGATTCTGAACCATCTGGTACGGCTGAGCAACACGGTCGACCACACCGCTCATGACCGCGGTCGGAATTGGGGGAGGAGGTGAAGCGAAAATGCTCTCGGGACAAAGCCTGGCTTCAAACAGCTGCGATTGTGGTGATGATGGCGACGATGACGGCGATATGCCATGATGTTGTTATTGCTGCGACGATGGTGAGGGTGAAGACTTTGGTATCATGTTGATGCCGACCAACACGACGATGTGACGGATGACGATGACGATGATACCGACGACTACGATGATGTGACGGTCGTGATGGGACGCTCTGTGGTTGGGCACGGCCGTTCGGTCCGCGCAACATCTTTTAGCATGCAAGGGGTGGGGGCTGCCGGGGCTGCCCCTGCGGGCCCTGGGCCAGGCGGCCCCTCCGCGGCCTCTCTCGGAGGCAAGGGGGATTGGTGAGAGATGGTAGGTTGGAAGGGGGGGATGAGGAGGGGGAGAAGGAGGAAGAGGAGGAGCAGGACAAGGAAAAGGAGGAGGGGCAGGGGGAGAAGAAGGAGAAGGAGACGTAGAAACTAACAGGCTTGAAGGAGGAGATGAAGGAGGATTCAGGACAACAGAGGTTGAACGTTGGCATCCCTCACTTCTTCGGCGACCACGGGTCACGCAGGGGCGCGGAGAGCCCCACCGCTGGGAGGATTCTCGCGAACAGCCTGGTGAGCACGTTGCAGCTCATGCCATTGCCGACCTAGTGAGAGCATCTGGATCCAGGGGATACGCGGGAATACACAGGAGGAGGAGGGAGGAGGAGGGGGAGGAGGAGGAGTAGGGATGGAGGAGGAGGAGTAGGGATGGAGGAGGAGGAGGAGGAGGAGGAGGAGGGGGAGGAGGAGGAGGGTAAAGGGATGGAGGAGCAGGGAGGATTGACCCCAAGGGGCGCTGCGTTCCCTGGAACTCTCGGCGCCTCCTCGTCCCCCTCCGTGTCGCCGTCGGCGCTATATCATCCTTCTGACCATCATGCTACTCATCGTATCCTTATTATTTCCACGTTTCCCCCCCCCTTTACTTCCTCCTGTTCCTGCCTCCCTCATCCCCCCTCATCCTCCCTCTTTCTCTCTCCCTCGTCCTCCTCTTCCCTCCCTCCTCCTCCCTCATCCTCCCTCCTCCTCTACCTCCTCCTCCTCCTGGGAAGGGCCATTGCACCGATCTGGCTGTCCGACACGTTCCGGCGCTTGAAGGTGGACGGGGTGATGCCCTGAAGCCTGAGAAGCTCCTTCACGTTCGGCTTGCGCCGGTGGCTCGTGATCCAGAAAGCGTATTGGTAACCCCTGGAGCGGGTGATGCACGGAAAGCGCCCCTTCATCATATGCATGGTCGACCCGCCGAGATTCACAACGTACGGTTCCTTCAAGGGGTTCTCGCCCTTGCTCGTGATGGCCTGGAGAGCCTCTTTCAAATTGGCTTGGGCAGTGGCCCCAGATGGCACGGCGAGCGTCTGGCCGCGCTCCTTGTCCAAGAGTTTCACCAACGGGATCGAATCAATCGGCGAAGGGTACGGATCGAAAGCGTCGAGCTTCAGGGAATCAATGCGGACGCCCACCACGTACAAGCGCCTCCTGCTGTGCGGGAGGCCGTGCTCGGACGTGTCGAGAATTTTGCAGTGAACCTTGTACTGCTTTGTCGTCTTGATATTCTTGATGATCTTGATCAAGTACTCCCGAGATTTCTCCTGCTCCAGAAGCCCAGGCACATTCTCTAAAATGAAACACTTCGGAAGGAACTTCTTGATGTAACGCACGCAATAGCGCGCCATGTCTCCGCGCTCGTCGTCCACTCCTTGATGTTGTCCTTGCAGTGACCAAGGCTGGCACGGGAACCCTGCAATGTACAGGTCAACGTACTGAAGATCTGCCATCTTGACATCCTTGATATCGTCGAAGATATTCTCGCACGAGGTGTTCTGCCGGATGATGTTTTGGCAGTGCGCGTCGTTCTCGATGGAGAAGATGTGGCGGTACTTCACGTCAAGGGCCCGCAGAGCGAAAGTGGGCGTGTCCATCCCGGCGAACGCCGTGCCCAAGCTCATCACCGATGGGGCTGAGTCCTCGGCCGAGTTCGCCTTAAAAAACCTTCTCTTCCTCTTCCTCCTTCGCCGTCCTTGTCCTCAATCGTCGTCTGCACACCCCGTCGCCACCTCGTCCTCACCATATCCTCCTCGTCCTACCTTCATCCCTCCTCCTCCCCCTTGTCCTTGGCGGCCGGCTTCTTCCGGGCCGTCAATGGCCCGGGGCGCGCCGCCAGGGGGGTCGCCTTTCCCATGGCCTGGGGATGGAGGACCCGAGGGCGCTGAGCTGCGGGGCTGTCTGACAGCGACGACGGCTATGGCGCAACGATGGCGACAGCGATGGCGATCGGAATGCGATAATGATGGCAATGGTTTTGGTGATCATGATAATGTTGATGATGCGATCGTGGTTGCGATTAATGTAGGTATCGAGGGTGGTGATCGCAACAGTGGCGAGCGACGGCATGGCCACGGCGGCCTCGATGACTGATTGCAGGGCGAGGGGGCGATGAAGAGGAGGAGGGGGAGGAGGAGGAGGAGGAGGAGGGGGGTGAAAGGAAGAGGAGGAGGGAGGGGTGGGGGGAAGGAGGAGGAGGGGGAGAAGGATAAACAAAGGTGATAGGGGAGGAGAAGCAAGAGGAGGAACGAGAGGAGATGGACGAGGGGGAGACGGAGGAGGGAGGAGGCAACTATGTGTCAGCGATGCTCCGTGGCATCGTCGCCTCGCGGCCAGCGAGTCCACTGGGTGAGCCCTTCCCGGGCGTGGCGTGCTGTCGCGACGGCCGACAAAGTTAAGGGGAGACAGGAAACATAATATCTTAGATGGGAGTACTCATTGGAGTCCTTACTGCGAAGAAACGGGGTGGGGCTGCAGGCCGAGCACGTCGCAACAATAAAAAAAAACCAGGGCAGTCGGGGGCAGCTGCGCTGTCGGGCACGGGGGCCTATCACCTGCCCTGTCTTGCGCAGCTGCGCCACTCGAGGAGCGAGATCTACGTCGATCTACTCCTCCTGGCTCGCAGAGTCCGCCTCCTCCTCCTCATCGGGGCCTTCGCCCTCCACCAGATTGCTGAGCATGTCCATCAGCTGCGCCTTGTTGGAGCCGTCCGCGCCCTTCGCGCGCTTGGCCTTCTTCTTCGGGGCGGCGCCGCTGTCGGTGGCCCCCTTCGCCTTGCGGCGCTTGCTGCCGTCCACCGGGCCGTTGTCGTCGCTCTCGCCGGCGGCCTTCGCGGGCTTCGGCGCCTTCAGCTCCTTGGGCTCCTTCGGCCCCTTCGACTCCTTCGGCTCCCTCGGCTCCTTCGGCTCCTTCGGCTGCTTCGCAGCCCCAGCCACGATCTTGGCCAAGTGGGGGTCGTAGATGTCCGCGCCGTCCTCGATCATCGTCTTGAACACGTCATCGACGACCTGGTTCACCACCAGCTCCAAGTGGACCTCGTTGAACACGACCCCCACGTAAGGGATCCTCGCCTTGACGTGAGCGACGGCTGCGTTGCCGACGCCTGCGGTCAGGTCGAACGTCGCCTTGATGGGGAAATCCTGCAGAATCATAGTGTAATAGGTCTCAGGCATGCAGTGGAAGAAAACAGGTTCACGACCCTGCGCGTCCTTCGGCAAGGGCAGCAGCTCATCATATTCGGCTGGGCCACCAACCTCATGGCGATGTCCAGCCAAAATCTTCTTCTTCTCGGCCGCGGTCTCAGACATCGTGGCCGACCACGGGACGAAGCTCACAGGCCCGATGGTGTCGCCCCGGTTCGACTGGGAGACAGCGTTGTAAAGCCTGCGGGGCCGCTCCGGAACGTCCAAGGGCAGCTGGGTAAAGATGGCAACGTTCTCCAGCTGCGAAAACTTGCGACGAACGGTCTCCAAGCGCTCCCGGAGGCTTTCCTCTGCATACAAGATGTTCAACATCCGAACCTCGCGCCGCATGTACCTCGGCCTGGCCCCAGTCTCGTCCTGGAAGAGGTTGCCAGCAGCGCTCTCGTTGCCTGTGGGAGCGCAAAAACAGGAGGCTGGAGGGGGCTGGAGGAGGAGGAGGGGCCCGAACAACTCACTGCGAACAACTCACTGCGAGTTGTCAACTCGCAGTGAGTTGCTCGGGCTCCTCATCCCCCCCGCCCTTCTCCTCCTCCCCCCTGCTGCTGCGTCTGCCTCATCATCCTCCTCATCCTCCACCTCGTGCTCCTCCTCCTCCGTCAGGCCTGTTGGTTTTTTACGTGTGTCATCCTCGTCCTCATCGTCCTCCTCTTTGTCCTGCTCCTCTTTGTCCTGCTCCTCCTTGTCCTTCTCCTGCTCCTCTCCCTACTCCTCCGGGCGGGTCCTGTCCCCCCTTCCTCTTACTCCATCCTCATCCTCGTCCTTCGCTCTTCTCCTTCTCCCCCCCCGGCAGTAGTGGTAGCAACAGTGGGAGGTGGACGGGCTGGGCCTCCAAGAGGCCCTGGCGCCCAGGCCCGGACGTTTTCACGATGA